ATAAATGGATGCATGAGGACAAGATTGACTAAGGCCTTAAGAAGAGGACTGAAGCTGCAGGGCAAAGGAGCCCAAGACTCCAGAAGAAAGCTGCACCGCACCCTTAAAAAAAAGAAGCTTCAATCCAATGAAACCAGTTCCGTTTTATTGTAGTGCGGCATTTCAGTGGAAATAACCTGCATCCTGCATCCCTCCTTGGACCGAAGGCATGACTTCACCAATCTGAAGAACTTTGAAAAACAAAACAACATCTGTGACCTAGAAGGGGCTGGAAACTCATGACGCGGTACAGCAATCAGAATTTAGTTTTGCAGCTCTCGAAATGTCTCCGCGGAGTTACACCCAGACGTCCACACTGTTCCGCTATTGTTATGCATTGAATATGATATAAAATATCTGTAAAAATGTCACGTAGTCATTGTCCAATGGTAGAAAAGGAGTCCCTTAAAGGAAAAAGGTTGGAACCCACGTAGAAGAAGGCGTCAAGATGCCTCATGACGTTAGCATTTATGATTTGCAACACATTCAAACAAACGACATCGCACTTACATGGTTGGCACCCTGGAACCACCGGAGCACTTGGTCACACCCATAGTGCTAAGAAAACATCCAAAATACACATTCAGGTATTTACACTTTGAAACAAGATGAAACAAGAATTTTGAACCTGGCTTTATCCAATGTTCACATTTCTGTTCTAGAAATGTGTGCAAATTAGCGCATATTTAATAAGATAAAGCTCCATTTGCATATTTGAGAGATTGTCATATAACTTGTGATACAAAAAGTAATTGTCTTAATGTAAGTTATCTACTGAAAAGGTTCATTGTGATATATATTAGTACTTTTTTGTTGACCCTATTCACCTGCAGTGTCTCCCCTTAATTCTACGAATAGTTGTGCAAAGCAGCACAAACATTAAGGTCACGGTTAGGTTGGACTTCCTTTTGCAAACTTAATCACAACAAACAGGTATTTTATCGACAATGGCGCTCTCTGAACTTTGTGTCAACAGTTTGAGTGCATCCCTTTCCAGTTTGAACATCACAATGTCCCCACACAGAGCCAGCTCCACAAAGACGTGGTTTTACCAGTTTGTTTGGTTTGTGTGTGGAGGAACTGGCCTGGCCCTGACCTCAACCTGTAATATTTCAGGGCAAATGATGTCATATTCATATGTATTCAGTGTTGAAATGGTTTGCACTAAATGAGAGAGAAACTGTTGTATTACCATTTTTGACTGGAAACACAAAGGCGTAACTGATGCGGTTCTTTAATGTGAGATTGTTGTCATTTCTTTAGCTCCGGTGCATGTCATGTGATGGTCCCAGCAGGTGGCGCTGTCCACTCAAACTTCCCTCTGCTTGTGGTTCCACAACAACCACCAGCTGAACACAATCAGCTGGTCCACCATGCCAGTGTTGCACAATAACAAATACATCAAATGAACAAGACTTCTCAAGGACACAGCGGTGGTGTTCGTCAAGATGTGAGCAATTTTGATTTCTCTTCTTTGTTTCACAAACATAAATATACAAATCACATGACAGAAATACAAAGCAAGTGTGAGGGCGTGTGGTAGAAAGCTGTAGTAGCTTATATTCAATTTTAAAACAGACACCCAAAAGACAACATGCAACATTAAAAAAAATCACCATTCATTGAAGAAATATGTAGAGAAGCAGGAGTAATTACCATATTTAGAGCATGAACAGCAGTTGCTTTTGACAGCAGAGCGTTACTGAGACAACGACACAGAGGAATCCATTAAATGTTCATTTTCATTCCACAATATAACTCAAAACATGGAACTTGACACTAAAACTGATGTTTTATACAAATGAAACTATAGGAACGCCATTACTATCAGACTATTACTATTACTATCGGAGCCTTTACTGTTTACCTGTCTCACTATATTCATAACACAAAGCCATAATTGCTTAAAAACAGATCATCATCCCCAGACAACGGAAGAGGGCACGAGAGACCTGCTCACACGAGAAGCAGCTCTCAGTTCAGGAACCTGAACAGCTGAAAGAGGAGGCTGGGATTATAATTCATGAACTTATTTCTTCCCACAATTAAAAGCTTTTGTTACTTACGACTCACTTCTGACCGTCAAACAGAATCACTGGCTGCCATCATGAATCCAAATTTACTGTATTTAGGGTTATATATCCTCACCACACACTTTGGGGCTTTTACTGGCGCAGGGCTTTTATTTATGTGAATTTCTGAAATAAAATGTAACTATAGCTTTGTAAATTACCACAAATAAAAAATCTTAATAATTGAATCTAACTATTTGGCAGCACCTCCGCGGCCCACTAGATGGCGCTCTGAGGCCAACCACCCCCCCCAATCACAGGCCTCCGACAGTGATGTATACTGAAACATGCAAGAGGATGTATTTCTTATTCTATGGGATATTATTAATAATGATCTTAAATTGATTCAAGATGGGACTAGTGACCATACAGTCGCACAATGCTGGAGACCCAGGCCGTACTGCCGGGCCCGCTGGAGGGGACGGGAGGCGCTGGAGAACCAGAACCAAACACAGTGGCCGGATATTGAACATCTATACATACTCGCCTGAATCAGCAGGTATCACTGTCTATTAATAACCAACCTGTTAAAAGCCAACTGTTTGATCAAGGCTGGGCTGAGATTTAGTCTAATGCTGAGCTAGCTTTCTATCAGTCATAAATATCACCTTCATCATTTACGATACTGACAGTGGATCACTTACCACTGATTATGTTATGATTTACTGAGGGTAATAAGAGGATGTTAACATTGCACTTAATCAATTTCCATTTCATTCATTCATTCCATTTGTTTTACTTCCACTTCACTAGTTGGACTTGTTCAGATAGACAGCTAGCAGTAAGACATCCTGTATGTGGACTAGTTCAGATAGAAAGCTAACAGTACGACGTCCTGTATGTGGACTAGTTCAGATAGACAGCTAACAGTAAGACGGCCTGTATGTGGACTAGTTCAGACAGACAGCTAACAGTACGACGTCCTGTATGTGGACCAGTTCAGACAGACAGCTAACAGTACGACGTCCTGTATGTGGACTAGTTCAGACAGACAGCTAACAGTAAGACATCTTGTATGTGGACTAGTTCAGATAGACAGCTAACAGTAAGACATCCTGTATGTGGACTAGTTCAGACAGACAGCTAACAGTAAGACGTCCTGTATGTGGACTAGATTCAGACAGACAGCTGACAGTAAGACAGCCTGTATGTGGACTAGTTCAGATAGAAAGCTAACAGTAAGACATCCTGTATGTGGACTAGATTCAGACAAACAGCTGACAGTAAGACGTCCTGTATGTGGACTAGATTCAGACAGACAGCTGACAGTAAGATGTCCTGTATGTGGACTAGTTCAGATAGACAGCTAACAGTAAGACATCCTGTATGTGGACTAGTTCAGATAGAAAGCTAACAGTAAGACGTCCTGTATGTGGACTAGTTCAGACAGACAGCTAACAGTACGACGTCCTGTATGTGAACTAGTTCAGACAGAGAGCTAACAGTACGACGTCCTGTATGTGAACTAGTTCAGACTAGTTCACATACAGGACTAGATTCAGACAGACAGCTGACAGTAAGATGTCCTGTATGTGGACTAGTTCAGATAGAAAGCTAACAGTAAGACGTCCTGTAAGTGGACTAGTTCAGATAGAAAGCTAACAGTAAGACGTCCTGTAAGTGGACTAGTTCAGATAGAAAGCTAACAGTAAGATGTCCTGTATGTGGACTAGTTCAGATAGACAGCTGATGTCCTGTATGTGGACGAGAAAACCCAAATAAAATCCTTCAGAATATAGATACGAAGGAAACCGGAACGTTTTCTGTATGTAAGTGCTACTGAAGTAGAAAAAAACATAATTAAACAGCTTTAAGATGTGATTTTCTTTTATTACATACATTTTGAATGCACTACAGGGCGGGGAAGTAATAGATAACACCATGAAACTCCACCAGTTGATTACTTACGTTAAGACAATTGTTTTTTTATAATACAAGTTTTCTGAAATATTATGTTTAAATTAAATAAACACCTAAATGTGTGTTTTTGATCAAATCAGTCAATGAGGCATCTTGACGACCTTTTTTAAGTATAAATATTTGATTGTTTAACTTTTTTTTTTCTTAAGTTCTCATCTCATCATTAAATGACTCAATGTTTTGTTTTTCGAGGAAAGCGTGTCATTTGTCTCCAATAAGACTCTTACTGCTCAGCAGTGTGAGAAAACATGCTGTATATTATCACATACAGCACCCTCTGTTGTGCCAGGCAACTACCTCATGTAGTGAGGTGTTGGTTGGAACCGTCGGCTGTCTGCACAGACAAGGCCTCATTATGCTCGGAGAACTTTCTCTTTTTTTTTTTTTTTCCCCATCGGCCATCAGTTATAAAGCTGGCTTTTCATGCTAATGAAAACACAAAGTCAATATCTGTTGGGACGATTGAGCAACAAGCGACCGGCTTTTGCAGTGAGTGAAAGAAAAGGTTGGCCCACTGCAGATCCAGAGCGTGCGACGATCGCGCCCTCTTTCTCAAGGTCCACACGCTGCGTTTTCTGCGGCGGGGCCAATATCATCCAAATAATTCCATATGAGCGGGAGGGCAGCAGATGTGAAGGACAACCCTTGGTGTTTTAAAAAAAAAAACTGTTGTCTGAAACAAATGCTCTCCTCATATCTTGCAACTCGGATACTTGTTTGTTTCCTCAGGTTGTGTGCTCGGAGAGATATTTGCATTGAGGTCGGAGCGGTGTGGCAAGAGAGAGAGAGAGAGAAGACAGCCCGAGGCTGAAAGAGAGAAAAAGGAAAAGAATCTAGAAAGTAAAAATTGGTGGCAACAAGCTGCTTCCTGGGAATTACAAACACATCTTGCTGCATAATGCTGCAAGTATTTCCTTGGAGCCAAATGCAGCCAGAGAAAGAGTGAGTCCAAAGGCACCACACACACATCTCCGGAGTCATAAAGACATAAATGAGACATTCAGGAGGTCGGTCGGTTTGTTTGGTTTCTGATGCTGGCCTTATCTCAAATAAACACGTCTAACCTCTTTACGTACATTCACAGTCCCCCCCCCC